GGATGTGTGGAATGCCCTCATTCCAGCGTAATCTTACACACTCTAGCCTTCGCTGATCCTTTAACCTATAAGCAAACACACAGACTCACCTCGCCCCAGTTTCACAACCTTGCTTGTGTTTTGGTGGAAAAATGTCTCCTGGTAATGTTGTTTGTCTGTTTGCAGAAATAGAAAGTTGTTGTTTGTTGTTTCAGAACATCCTGAAGAGAACAAAAGAGGGGACGAAAGAGGAGCAGACAGCCTCAAAGGCTTTGGCCTCTGTGTCCAAGGTAAACACGCCTCACTCCTCAACCGCCCTTCCGCCTGCAAATGCGGCATATTTGAGTCTAAAGTGTGCCGTATGCTTCTGGAAATTAGATGTCAGCTATTGTCTGAATGAAGGATTTCCTACTGAATCAACTCAGTGAGTCACAGGTGCCATTGAGGGCAGTGGCAGGCTGAGATTAGGTTTATTAAAAGAGCCAGAGGAATAAACTTGATACTCCCAGTGAGACACACGGTTTTATACAAGGATGGTTGAAAGGAGGTTTTTTTAAGTGTGAAAATAAAAGGGATCTGCTAACCGATTTCATCATTTTGTTTCAGATCATTGATGTGTGTAACACAGAGGTGGGAAAGATGAAACAGATGGAGGAGCTGATTCATATCTCTAAGACACTGGAGTTTGACAAGCTCAAGGTAACGGCAGTGTTGACGTTTGTATTCAGCTTATGTGATCTCTTTTATTTTGAAGAGTCGTAAATGCCACCTGTCCTCTTCAGGCCATCCCCATCATCTCCCAGACTCGATATCTGGAGAAAAAGGGAGAGCTCCAGGAAATGTCCAAAGGAGCGACTCTCTTCAACATGAGGGCAAAGTTCACTCCCGTCTACTTCTTCCTGTTCAACGACCTGCTCGTCATCGCTGCCAAAAAGGGGTTAGGTTCAAAAACAAAACTGACACAACATAAAATGCTCTTAATTTGTTGACCCATCTTTGATGCATCATTGATTCGTTCTGTTAGATTCTGATTAGAATTGAAAGCGTACACTGAATTTTTCAGATGTTGTACACATCATGCATTCAGTCCCTTTACAGCTTAATAAATGCATCTTTCTGCTTCTGTGACAACAGCTACATAAATTTGCTTGATGTCAGTGGATATCAAAGCCTATCTGTAAACTGGAGATATTTACTAGCCTCAGCTTTATGCACTAATTCAGAATTATACATTTTGGTTAATCATTAAACACTGTGAGGGTGGTCTCTGCCTATGCAGCTACCCTTGGAAAAGCCCAGAAACTATTCTAATACTTGCCAAACTATTACATCTTTATTGATATATAGTGAGCTCATTACAGGGGAGGTCGCCGAATGTCGTCTTTATGGGGAAAGAGTTAAATCTGTGTCATCACTCGTTTAAATAACTCCAACTCCCTAAAATTTAAGGGAAGGTGGTGCCAAAGGTGCTAGACGTTAAGAGTATACACAGCATGCGATATACCTGCTTCCTGCTAGACCCGTTTTCCTTCTCATATTTTTCTTGTAATCAGCTTTTGTCTACATTGTCTCAAACAGCGCGGAGCGTTTTGTGGTGCTCGACCATGCCCATCGCTCTCTGGTGCAAGTGCAGCCAATAGAGGAAAGCGGGACCAGTGGGAGCCCCTTCGAACACTGCTTCAATCTCACGCTGCTGGAAAACCACCAGGGACGCCTGTTTGAGCGGCTCATCAAAGCTTCCTCTCAGTGAGTGGTCGCGCGTGTGTGTGAACAGCATGTGCTTGACTCTAACATCTGCAGTATGTTGAATGAAAATAAGGGAAAAACTAGACATGAAGTCAAAGTCCAATTCAAGTAGTTCATGCTCTTTACATAGAAGCAGCATGAATCGGCTAATTTGACTCATGTAAAAGAAACATTTAATTTCCTAAAAGGAAAAATTGTAGATGAACTGCGAGTTACTCAAAGGTTACGTGAGATGGAAATGAGAAATTAGATCCACCAAGAAACAGTTCTGGCCTAAAAGTGTAACTAGATTACACTCCTGCCTGGCCACTCCTTGAAAATGTTGCCCTGGATGAACAGCTGTTCTGACTTTCAAAGTAAAAGCTTACGAGCACAAAGAAAAACATTCACACTACATTAAAAATTAAGTGAAATTATGAACCAAATACAACAAACGCATGTGCAAAGTCCTGCCCCCCTGATTCATGCCTGGGAGCCAGTTTGGAGAGCATACAAGCTGACGTCCTGGATGTTGACAGACTTGCTACAACCGGCTTACAGGGAAGTTAAACATGGGAAAAAAAGGATGTTTGTCATTTCAAACAATTTTCATTGTGATGTTTGTTTATTATATGCATGGTTGGCAAGGTATCATGTGTCTTAATTGCCCCTTGAGGATAAATATGGTCTTTTTGACTTTGACTTGATGACAACATGATCTGACGGAAACATTGTTAGGATGTTTTTGCAGGTTATAAAATATCCCCAGTGTTAGGTGATCCAGAGCAATCAAAAACATGTCCAGGATGTGATTGAGGCCAGAGAATCCATAATGCTCTATGCAAAACATTTTCTCTGTTAAACATTTTGAGGATGTGTTGTTGGTGAGTTAGGTGACATAGTTTTCCTCTAACACCATCACAGTAAAATGCAAATATCGGTCACTATGCTAATAGTATAATGTGTGACTCCAGGGAATAAATCCTTCAAATTTAGTACTTAGGCCAAAAACATCTAATGTCGATCCATTCGTGTATCCACTTCTGCTTATCCAACTCGGGGTTGCAGTTAGGCTGAAGCCTGTCTGAGCCGTCATAGGGTGAGAGTTGGAGAGCACCCAGTACAGTGGTTAGCGCTGTACAGCACAGTAAAAAGGTCCCTGGCGTCCTGCGTGTTCGCCTTGTGTCTGTCTGAGTTCTCTCTGGTATTTCCAGCTTCCTCCCACAGTCCAAACACACGCCTGTTTGTGTAACTGGTAGTTTTGGCGACGTATCAAGGTGAAACTCAAGATCTCTTGACCAAACCATTATAAAAGTGATTTGCTAAACTTAAATGAACCTAAATATAATGCTGGGAACATTTTCCAGAGATGTGCCAAAATGCAATGTGAGGATTTTTAGATTCAGAAGACTGTGGGACACGTTGAGCTTTAGAAACGGGTTGCTATGGTTTTCTGTTGACCTCCTCTTCTCCGCACACCTCGAAGGAGGTGAAAACTCTTCCTACTGTTACATCAGGAATTACACGTCACTGGTATGAGACTAAACTGTGGCCGTCTCCATCAACAGGTCGGACATGGACAGGTGGATGGCAGCTTTCCCCAACACGGCCAACCAAGAGAGAGATGATAAGGAAGTGATTTACGAGGACTGGGGTGAGGACAAGCGCATACAAAATTCACACACACCGAGTGTTATGCGAGTTATGAAAGTTTACAATTTTATATGTGTCTGTGGATGGCAGACTGTCCTCAGGTGCAGTGCGTGGAGCAGTACATCGCCCAGCAAGCCGACGAGCTCAGCCTGGAGCCCACTGAGATCATCAACGTCATCCGCAAAACCAACGAGGGTAAGAGCATCGGGTGGGAAACGTTTATCTTTAGAAAACAAGCTGTGGCAGCTGAAACCGAAACTAATTATTATTATTAACATTTGTTACACAGAAAAAGTTACATGTACTAACATGACTTTGTATCACCTCCCTGGACTCTGCTTGTTTATATGCCTCCATCCTCCAACCCTCGCTTTAGCAGTTTATTTGCTTTGACTTTCTTGCATGAATGACGCAGAAACCGCCAATATCTCCCCCTTCCCTTGTTTGTCCTCTCCCCACTCTCCTCCCCCTCCTCCCCTCTCTTTTTTTTTTCTCCCTCCCCCCCGAATAGGCTTGTACGAAGGAACCCGCCTGTCGGACGGTCAGAAGGGCTGGTTCCCCGTAGCGAATGTCATCGAGATCACAAACGAACACGTGAGGAGGAGGAACCTCCGGGAGCGCTACAGAGTCATGCAAGCAGCGACTTTGGTTGCAAACAGCAAGACCCGCACGCTTCAGTAGATGTTTACAGTAAATGACGTGGACACTTTTGAGAAAGACAGTTACTCAGGGACTGTGCCACGTGAGCTGCCAGTTTCTAGCAAACAGGAAACGAAAGGTAAAAGCAGAAGGGCGACCACGACGAGACGGCGGACACACACTCGAGCTGCTGCAGCATGTGCTACTTCAGCAGAAGAAACAGAAAGTATGTGACAGCAGAGGATTAGCTTACATATCTCCCTAACTGCAAGGATCCACCTCTTCCTGTTTTCCGTGCAGCCCCACGCCAACACTTCTTCACAGACTGCTGTGCCAAACTCACATGCCAGTCATTCGTGGCATTGTTCAAACGCTCGTACGCTCAGACAGGAGCTGGGTGTTGGCTGGAAACATTGTTTAGTTGTCAATACACAAACAATGCCCTGTTTTTTTTTTAGTGCTATGTGACACTTGGTTGGCCGGATTAGAGAACAGAAGGAGTCTTAAAAAAACACAAAAAACCCCCAAATGCATCTCAGCTGAAAGATGTTAACGTTTTAAAATTTCACCAGAAAACAGACATAAAATCAGGAAGTGCCTTTTAATTGAAAACAGAAGTACACAATTGTGAAGTACGGGGTTTATGCTTTCAGCATGTGCAAACTGTGCTTGAACTTTGTTTTTTATGTTTTTAGTAGTTGTGCTTTTGACTAGCTTGTTAGCTTGTCCACCACTGTGGAGTGGTGCTGTAGCTCCCCCTGCAGGGCATCAGGAAATGGGGTCTGGTCTGTATAGTATGTTGTAAATTACAACAGGGTGATTCTCCTTCAGGACATATTTTAATAAAACCTTTTGTCTTTTTAACTGGCTCTTTGTTTCTCAGTAACGTTTACTGAACATTATAAAGTTCTCGTCTGTCAGAGGAACCTGTGCAAAATCCAAAACTGGGTAAAGTGCAAATACAATGCTCAAACACAAGAGCCGAGAACAGAAATATTGAGCAGTCACTGTGTGATATCAACATCCACAAGGCTCAGGAGCATGTCCACGGCATCGCCCTCCAAATCTGAGAGCCTCTGTTCCTTTGCTTCCATAAACCCTTCAAAGACACTCACTTTGGTCTTGATCACTGGGGATGTCTTCAGGGGAACGGCGCTACTTCCTAATGCAAGTGGAGCTTCAGCTTCCTGGTGTGTTTGAGGGCTTGGGCATAGCAGAGGACCGGGAGGAGTGTTTGCTGTTTCATTTCGGTTTTGGGCCTTCAACAAGTCAACATAATTTAGTTTTAATTGACTCGAGAGAGTGTCAGCGACTTCAAGCTCTGCATCTGACCAAACCGTTCCCTCTATCAGTGCACCACGAGCAGGTTTGTACCCCTCCTCACCATCCTTGGCACAAGGATGACTGAGGTTTGAGTCATCGTCCATTTGGTAGTGCAGTTTCAGCAGGTTAGTAACGGCCTGGTCCTCTTCCTGTGTAAGCTGGAGGACAACCTGCCTTGGCTGGACCTGAGGGTGAATGGTTTGTGTTCTCCAAGTGGGGCTACCCAGATCTCTAGTGGGGTGTGGTCCTGATCTGAATGGGTCTGGGCGGTTTGGTGGGGCCAGGCAGGCGGACATGATGGGTCGTGGCGTGTTGAGCTGCAAGCAATCAAATACCTGAGAGAAATGAGATGAAAGAAAGAACAGCTGTGTGTCGCTCCAATAACAACACATCATTTGTTCCCATTCCTTTTGCACCTTTCACTGAATCAAGTAGTGATAACTCGGACAGGCATCAAATAGTATTTTGGCACCAGGGTGTCCTTAAAAGAGAGGAAAATTAGCAAGTGGAGCATGAAATAGCAAGAGTCAGGCCTGAAAAAACTATCTACAGCAGATGAACAATATCTGAACCTCGTGTCTTTAAGAATCAGGCGATAAACATCCAACAAAGACATAACACACATCTACTGTTCACTGAAGCATCATCAGAAATGGCCTAAGTGGAAGGCTGGCTGTCAAGAAGCCATTCATAATGAAGAGAAACGGATAAAACGGAAGAACTGCACTGATGGAGGGATGAATCCAATGTGAAACTTTCAGTTCAAATTGTTAATAATGCGAGGAGAGAGGTACGACAATAAGTGTCTACAGCCATTTGTAAAACATGGTGGAAGCCTGTCATGCAGTCGCATCACAATACACCAGCACAAAAACTGACTGAACGACTCAAAGAGCAACTAAAAGAAAACACAATTATCATGAAGCGTTTGATGTGTGCATTTTTCTATGTGGCCTAAATGAACACTCTGTTATTAAAACGCTGACACACTGGACTCTTTCCTGTAACCACACAGCGATTATGAAATCTGATTTATATGATAAGTTAATTTCCACAGGATGGTACTTCAGTTTGTGGATGCATTGAGTAGAGGATGATGGGTAAACAGAGGTGGAGGCAAAATGTAGTTTACAAAAGACCAACAATATTTTTCAAAGTTATCTGAGAGTGAAGTCTTGATGACAGACTCTGACAGAGCATTTAGTTATACTTAAGCTGTGGTATTGTTGTATGGGACTCTGGCCCCTGGAAAGCCATACAAGTCTTTATTTGGGCATGCAGGAACTAATCCTTAGAAAATGAATGAGTATGAAAAATGGAGCTTCTCCACAACAGTGTGTTTTGTTGGTGCAATTATGAAATGGTCTCTCACTCACCTTTAACCCACTGAGTCTATTGGGGATCCTCCTGCCACAGCACATGGTGGGGTCAGTGTAGAAGAACTCTGCGGGCGTGGTGGGGTGAGCTGGGGAGAAATCAGGGAGTCCTCTCAGAGGTTGAGCAGCTGGATGAAGCTCCCCTTGAGCCGGTTTAGGTAAAAGTGACTCACCTGTTTGAGCGTTTTCTTGACTGTGGCGTGGGAGGCCTGCGGCCCTGTACAGCGGCAGGAAGGAGGGGTGGTACAGGGTCCTGTTGGACAGAGGGGGCAGGACCGTCTTCCTGGGTGTCTGATGGAGGACGGACGATGAAATCACCACCGCTGACCCGCAGGACCTGCGCATGCAGTCCAAGTGAGCTAAAGAGTGATGTCACTCACCGATAAATGCTCCTCGCTGTTCATGGTGGTTCAGCTGTGTTGCTCGAGAGGTAAGGGTAGCATCTAACTACTAACTACTCATAAACTTAACTTGTTTATGCGGCGTTAAAAGTCGGGGTAGCGACACCTGCTGACTGACGTATGAAACGCAGTGTGACTGCATATATGTATTTCCGGTCATGCGCTTATTAATATTTGTAAAAATTAAAATTAAAAAATGCAGACAGCAGATTACAGGGATGTAACACCAGCATGTGTAAAAACACTGCTTTGATTTTGCTACCCCATTTGATTTCCACGCTATGTTCGGGAAAATTTCTCTAGATCCACACCTGTGCACCCCATCTGCTTCAAGGTTGGACTTGTGCATTTAGAGACACTCCTCTACATACCTTGGTTGTAACTGATGGTTACTAGAATTATTGATGCCTTCTTATCAACTTGAAGCAGTCCGACCTCTCCTCTGAGACTTTCAGCGAGAGAACCCTGCTTCTCACTGAATTCTCTTTAATACCAGTCGCTTAAACCCTACGGATAGTTGTGTGATACAATCCCAATAAATCAGCAGTTTCTGAAGCAGACCAGCACCATGCCATGTTCAAATGAATTTAAATCACCTGTCCTCAGTCTGTTGCTCAGTTTAAACTATCATGCTGACCTTGTTTACATGTCCAAATGCTTTCATGTGACTGGCTGACTGAGGTACACTTCTCGCTGAAGTGTACTAGTCTGTAAGTTCACTACCTTTGCATTCTACTCTTTCCCAAGCTTCTCACTCTTTAATATATTTAGACCAAGATTCAAGTTTTCCTGAATATTAGGGTGAGAAAAAAAAATTAAACGTTGGAGCCATAATTAGTCATTTCTACCCCTTTTTTATGACCATGAGTTCCTTACAATGAAATCTCGACACTTACATCCGGTGTCAGAAACAGTCAAAAATGATGCAAAGTACACAGTAGTAAAGCTCTACGAGACAAATAATTTCAAAGTCAGCTTTAATGCAGTTTTGTCCCATTTAAAATA